AAGGAAAAGTATTGGACTACCGCTGAATAAAGCAGCATCGTGATCTACTACATCCTACCAACTCGTCACCGCAGTAGTAATAACGACAGTAACAAATGAATGTTATTTACTGGCAACGAGGGAAATTGCGGCCCGCAGCATAGGTGGCCTTATCACCGAGCTCCTCCTCAATACGCATAAGCTGATTGTACTTGCAAAGACGCTCAGTACGGCAGGGGGCACCAGTCTTGATTTGGCAAGTGCCAAGACCAGTGACAAGATCGGCGATGAAGGTATCCTCAGTCTCACCGGAACGATGGGAAACCATGACGGTCCAGCCGGCGTTAACGGCCATATTGTTGGCCTCGATAGACTCGGTGATTGAACCTATCTGGTTAACCTTGAGAAGAAGGGCGTTCACAGACTTCTCGTTGATACCCTTTTGGATACGCTTGGGGTTGGTAACAAGAAGATCATCACCGACAATCTGGATCTCCTTACCGTCCTTGGCGGTGAACTTGGCGAAGGTCGCCCAATCGTTCTCATCGAAGGGATCCTCAATGAAGACGAAAGGATACTTGTTCATAAGATCCTCCTGGTACTTGATGAACTCATCACCGGTCAACTCGGCATCGGCATGAGGCTCGGGGTTCTTGAAGTCGAGGTCATACTTGCCAGTCTTGGCGTCATAGATCTCAGAGGCAGCGAAATCGCAACCAATACGGCAGGTATCCTCATGGCCAGACTTCTTGATGGCCTCTAAGAGGACGGAGAGGGCCTCATCCATGTCCTGAATATTGGGGGCGAATCCACCCTCATCACCGACGTTGGTGGCATCCTGACCGTACTTGGCCTTGATCACCGACTTGAGCTCATGATAGACCTCAGAGGCGATCCTGATAGCCTCGTGAATGGAGGAAGCACCGCAGGGGACGAGCATAAACTCCTGGCAAGCAAGACGGTTACCAGCGTGTTTACCACCATTGATGACATTGAAGCATGGGCAGGGCATGAGGAACTTCTCAGTGTCCTTACCAGCAAGCTTGGCGATATACTGATAGAGAGGCATGTTCGAGGCGGCAGCACCG